CATCTGAGACCTCAAGCCTTGTCCTCCAGGTCTGTCTTTCCCACATCAATAATTATTTGGAATAGATGGAGTCTCCAAGTAGGATTCACGGGATTCCTCATCCAGGGACTACATTTAAATTATGAAATATTCCATTTTGTACTTCAAAGAGTTATAACACTTTTCTGGGACATTCTGTAGGAAATCATGTCTCCTGGCTTCTGGGTATTATTAGTATAAGCAGTTTTCACTGAGGACACAGATACTATCTCATCCTCCTGGCAATTTATCTTAGTCTGTTTACTTGAAGGTTCAGTTGACGAGGGGATAAGACCCAATCACCTGCCTTGTTTTCTATCCCCCAAGGATATTTTCTCCTCCATTAAAGAGAGTGAATGAATCACAGGCCAGCTGCTTCAAGGTCTTCCTCCCAGCTGCCTTCCTGGCTTAGTGGGATGACTAGGTGCTCCATGCTCATTCACACACTCCCTACCCCAGACCTTAAAACAACCATTTCTCCAATAACTCCTGCATCTTTGTAGTGGAAAACAAGATTTAAAGATCACAATCTGGGGACTAGATGAAAAATAATTCCTCAGTAAACATCTTTTTACACAATATTCTTTGCATACTTCTTTGACCGTCTCCTTAGAATAATTTCCCTAAAAGTGAATTGATCTATTAATGAGTACACAATTTAACCTTTGATTCATGGGCCAACGGTGGCATGTACCACCTTATGTCCTGTCTGGTGGGGATAACTGTTCTTGGGAATACCCATTTTCCCAACAACCCTTCAACTCTGGGTGTTGTGTTATTTTAATCTTTCCAACTAACTGATAAAAATTGATCATACTAGGGTTAATTTTTCTTTTTGGCATTTGTTGAATGCTAGGTAAGAATATATATTTTTGGTACATCTGGGTGGCTCAGTTGATTACGCACCTGCCTTTGGCTCAGGTCATGATCCCAGGGTCCTGGGATCAAGTCCCACATCGGGCTCCCTGGTCAGCGGGTAGTCAGCTTCTCTCTCTCTCTCTCAAATAAATAAATAAGATCTTTTTAAGATTTTATTTTATATCATTAAGGTAGAGGTCAGTGATTCAACCATATTATATAATACCCAGTGCTTATTACATCATGTGCCCTCCTTACTGCCCATCACCCAGTTACCTCATCTCTCCACTCCGTGCCCCTCCAGCAACCCTCAGTTTGTTTCCTATGATTAAGAGTCTCTTATGGTTCATCTCCCTCTTTGATTTCCTCTTCTTTTATTTTTTTCCTCTCTTCTCCTATGATCCTCTGTTTTGTTTCTTAAATTCCACGTATCAGTGAGATTATACAATAATTATCTTTCTCTGATTGACTTACTTCCCTTAACATAATACCCTCTAATTCCATCCACATCGTTGCAAATGGCAAGATTTCACTTTTTCATGGCTGAGCAGTATGTGTGTATGTATGTGTGTGTGTATATATACACACACACACACACATATATACCACA